TCGAAGACTATCTACTGGTGGAGTGGGGACACCCTCAGATGAAATAGATGTTGGGAGTTCTCTAAGTTCAAGTGGGGCAATTATTCAGGGTCAAAGAGTGTTCGCACTTCCTTTGACGAAACTGAAATCTTAGAAAGATACATGATTGTTAGGAAACAGGAAGTAGCGGGATTTTAGTATAAGTAGTAAGGGCTATTTCCCGGAGTTTAAGAAAATCAAGCAACGGAGAAGAGACCTTAACAATATAACAAGTTAACAAGTAAAAAGATTCGAGAACTTCTATTTTATTACTTTACCTTTATCGAACCATCATCTCTTGAGCCTTCCTGACTTCCCTCCGTTATCTCGAATACGATCTGGCCAAGCTTTCTCTATTCCTTTGAGTTAGTTACCCCGTAACAACTACTTTCACCATCTTCAATAAAAGTGTGAACTCTATTTGATCCTGAAAACTTCTGCACCCATACATAACTTATAGACATGTAAGAACATTTATTTTACAAGAGTGTGGACACCTCTCACAGTGTTTATACAATCTTTGATCTAAAGCAAACATCAGCAAAAAACAGCCTGCCCCCTGTACCTCATGTCATTGAGTTTTACGTTTTGGCAGATCATGAGTCCTATGATCGCGATATTAAAAATCCCATTAGTTTGACTAAAGAAGATGAAATTAATTATGTTTTCTGCAAAATATAAGCAATTTTTATTAAGAACTCACAGACCTTTTATATACCGAAGTTGAGAAATTTGAGTTCATAACATACAACTTTGTAATGTAAAATGTTTATGAGATATTGATAAAAATAGCTCATATTTTGCTAAAATTAAGATTTGTATCTGATTATTAGGGGACACAATCGGAAGCATCATGATTAACCAGAGTCACTCACAATTAGCTAAAACGTAAAACTCAACGACATAGCTCACCGTAGAGCACAAAAGACAGATTTTTTTTTTGCTGATGAATAGAGTTACGAATAGTTACTCACGTTTACAAATGCAGAGAACCTACCTGCTGAACTAAATATGGCCAGTCTTCTTCTTGTCAGCTCTGTCAGGAATCTGACTGTAGGTGTATTCTGAAGTTCCATCTACCAGCATTATGTGACTCTACTTAACCATCGAACTAATAGTTACGACTATGGTTATTAGTTTCTTGCTAACATGCCCTTTGAAGGTTTACTCTTACTCCTTACTAGGTATAAACTATCCTTCCAGTACTAGGCGACTTCCCAGAACTGAAGTGCCTCACTGTCATGCAGATTTATCCCATTACTTATTGACCTCTTTTCAATATCTCATCTTTAAGTGTCTGTAACTTTATGCGATGTCGTTCAATTTAGATGCTTTTACTTGTATAAGGTAGATGAATGCACCCTCTTATATTTTCTGTGAACAGGAACTAGTCAGACAGATGCCCGCAATGTATACGGTATTACACGATAGGCCATCTTGCTTAGGGGTTTTGGTGAAGGGATACAAATCTCGCGATACCCAGTGTTGACCTATTGGGCAAACATCAGGACCGGAGAGAGGTGAGTTGAACTTTCATAATGAGAGGTAAGTACATAAGGTAGGGTAACTTGACCTTAATACTGTACCAGGAAGCCCTCTGCCTAACATTACCATGCAGAACTGTATTATAAACTATACCCAGGATAGTACAAGGTAAATAATTACCAGTTTGCTCTAATGATCACTAGTCATCCCCAGATACTCATATAAAACTTGGCAGGATTACGCTCTTTGTACTATTGCATAGATTTTATTTTATTTTTGAGAGAAGCAGCAAGTGCAACGAACTATAGTAGGGTCAAAGAATTCCAGTGGATATTGTCAATATTCTTATCAGTTAAAATCTACAATCCATACTTTTCAGTTGGTGAAAGGCTGGATAGTGCCTTCAGTCTAATTTCAAGTTCTAGAAAAGCCTGGTTGACTAAGTAGTAAGATTGATTGTCACCTCAATAAACTGTTGGCTGGCATACACAAAGTTTGCAAACCAACAAATATAATAGGAAAAATGTTTTTTCTAGTTGACAATTAGAAGACTTAGATTCAAGTTAACTATTTGTAGAAAAATACACTTGTACCTGGCAGACCAAATACTTCCTAACTTAGCTTTCCACCTATAGTACTAGAAGGTACAATACTCTTCTGAGCTCTCATATATTAACTTTCTCCACTAGAATGAGCTAGTTGTGTACTTTATCATACAGTGTCTGTACCAATAACTTCTTCACTCCATATAGGAGATAGACTATAATCTCTATCTATGTAAACACTTGCTTTTCCCTCTTAGATCAAAATTGTATAAGGATAAAGATTTTCACTTCAGATGATTTCATGCCAATTTTGTAACCCCAGTGAATTCTATAGTTCTCTATAGAACTTGAAAACCTGAACTACGTAATTTATATCAACTGGAATTGATTTTACCTATAGCTCCTAGTAGCAATCCTGGATGCCAGACTGTATTATTGTACTAATAATTGGAAAAACTGGTTGAGGATATAGAATACTGAAGGCAGGAACAGCTTTTATCAATTTATGTTCTGAAATCTGATCTTATTTTAAAATTGACCTTATTTATAAACTATAATAGATGAAAATACTATTTTCAATTTGGTAAGTATTAACTTTAATAGAGCAATACTACTAGTTTGATGCTATTCTCCTCAATAAGGTCTAGGATATCTAAGTCAATATATGTGAATAATAAGATATAAATCTTGATAACTGCCATATTTCCAATAGTATTATATAATATTTCAGTACCTTAGACAATTATTGTACAATATTTGAATCATGTGTACTAGCTAAAAGAGCAATTAGAATGTAGAATACAACTTTGATTCTGGATTGACTCATGCCCAAGATAGGTTTTATTAAATCTGATGCAAGTAGAAGCACTTAAAAAGACAGCAACTCTATTTAATATTCTGTTCTCTAACCACTTTCAGAATTCATATATAGTGTTCAATACTCTTAATTCCTTTGTATTTTATGATAGAAAAGATAATTGAATAATATAATTACAGAGAAGACAAATATATTGAATTAAGTAAGCAAATAAATATATAAAACTGAAGTGTATCAAGAAAAGAATATAAGTACTATAATTAACAGCACACTATAATAGACTCAGCTTTTCTATTTAAGATAATATATAGGTAAGATAATATAATAATAAATTCAACCTGAAGTTAAAATAGCTAGTAACTTATTAATAATAGCTTTATAAAAGCACAACAAAGAATAAAAGATTTTCTCTAATAGTCTTAGTGTTAATGGACAGTAATAGTATAATCTATTCTGTTTAGTTACTGAAGCAAGTTTAATATAGAGCTGCCTATGAGCAGCTAAATTAGTATGGAAATCAATATCAATCCTCTTTAAGAATAGCCCTTATAACTTATTTACTAAAATAGTACAAATGTAAATACAAATAGGAAACTGGTTATCTTTAAGCTTAAAAAACAGATTCTCATTAGTGATTATGAGATTGATTGTAGATTGGAGATGAAATATATTATCCCAACTACTATGTAGAATTGCAATCTAGGCCCAGTTCTGCTGGGGTCTAATGTCTAGTAATAATGTCAATCTAGTAGGAGTTATAATAAAGATTTATTGAAGTTATAATAGATAAGCAAAAGAGAGAAAAGGTTGTTTGGAAAAGTAAAAGTGCAGGAAGTAGAAAGAATTAAATTGAGATTTAGGGAATGCTAAGTTAGAAGGCACTGGGGCATTTGTATCTGAATATGACTGCTAAGTGTGAGGATTACTATGAGAACTTCTTCCCACATACTAAGCAGATCAGATTTCTATTAGATGATTAGATTTACAATATTGATAGTGATATAAAGTACTATATAGATTGTATGCTGAGTAAGCCACTATAGTATAATTGTATACAAGTGATGATTTACTATGGCTATAACATCTTGTAATTGGTTCTTTAATATGATACTTGGGATGGTTTATATAGTTTGAATAACAAGCTTTGCAGCCCAACTCCTGAAAAATCATGCCCAACCAAACATGAAGCATATCTCACAACCTGTCTTCTCAGTCTTATTAATAACTTAGGGTGTAGTGTACCCTCTAACAATCACAATACAGCACTCAGTTTAACGTAGAAAAAAAATCAAATTCACATTAAATTTTTAGTTCTCTTAATTATGATAATATTATCACAATATATAAGAACGGAAGTTCACAATATTAATTTCACCAAATCTCTAATCTCGGGCAAGTTTATAGAATACTCTTCTTATATACATGCAAAATCCACAGACCATAAATCTCAATACCAACACTATTTAACCCTACCCCTCCTTTCAAATACTTCTCGCTTAATATGATACTATACGACTTTCCACTCCCATTTTCAACACCCAATCCAATCGATGATGACCATCTAAGTTATGCTCGCACAATCCACCACCAATAAGTATCATAGCTCCAGTAAACTTCAATACTCTTAAGAGGCCAACCCAACCGGCCAACTAAAAACAAAAAACACTCCGCAAAACCGCTAACGAGAACCCATAGTTTCAGCCTATTATACCCCAGCAACGCCAGCACCACTAGGTAATACCCCCATAAGAACCGGAACATATACCGGTGATCCAACCTCACTCTCGACCGTCGGACTTGCCGCTTTCTCTCTCTCTCTCTCCGAGCAAGGGTACTACATTTTTCTTCTTATCTGTCTCAGCAGACGGCCAAAAGCCGGTATATCCTGAGTAATCTCCTGCTTTTATCTAAAGCAGGGAAATTCTGGACGCCTTAGACTAGCCTCAGGTTCGATCATTCTGGATCTCACGGTATTCCTTCTTAAAAGTATTTTATCTCTAACCTCGGAGGTTAGAGGCCCGGTGGAGATAAAAGATTGTCCGGGTAAATACTATAAACTGACCATCTTCACTGCTTTTTCCCCAAAGAATACCACGACACATCATAGTGGATATTTGGTCCAAACTCTACATCTAGGGCGCATGGTTTAGGGGTATAATATCTCATTTGCAATGACTTTTCGGAGGTTACATGAAAATTTGAGATGGTCCTGGGTTCGATTCCCAGTACGTCCATTCTTTTTTCAGGTGTTCCTCTTTTTACCTGGATATCCATCCAGCTGGATGTTTCGTTGCTCACCTACCGTATGATATCCTATTAGTCAAATCACTAGTGTCTCATTTGCCCATCTCTATACTTTATAATTTAAAGAAAAGGTCTACTTCTAGAAAACTCGAGAAATTTATGATAACTTTTTCTTATTTAGGAGAGGTGATTTTTATTTACAAGTCCTTTCCCCTTTGTTTAAACCCACACCTTGCACTCAGAAATAGCAATTCGAGTCAGAAAACGAAACCCCGCCTGATAAAACCGTTGTTCCAGCGCAAGAGGGCATTTCCTCATCCTTTCGCCATATCCGAATCGCCCCCCAGCCACCTATGCCTATTTTCCTACTTAGGAGCGATCATAAGCTCGGGACGAACAAGCCGATCGAACTAAAACCTCGTCAGCACCTACTCATCCGCCCAAACCACCTACTCGCGTGAAAGGCGTAATGCGTACCTCATCACTAGTCAAAGCCCCCAATTCCAACGCAGACTGCTTCAGGGTAGTCCCCTTCTTGTGCGCGTTCTTGGCAACTTTACTCGCCATGTCATACCCAATCTTTGAATTCAGGCAGGTGACCAGCATCAAGCTCTCGTGCAAGAGTTTTTCAATCCTGTCCTCATTCGCTTGGATCCCCACGACGCAGTTGTCTTTGAAACTGGTCATGCCGTCGGCTAGGAGGGTTATGGAATGCAGGAGGTTCTTGATAAGGACGGGTTTGAAGACGTTAAGTTCGAACTGGCCTTGTGAACCAGCTACAGTTATTGCGGTGTTGTTGCCTGGAAGGAGTTAGTTGGTAGACGGAAGGAGAAAGGGAGATTAGAAGGTACCCATCACTTGTGCACAAACCATGGTCATGGCTTCGCATTGGGTTGGGTTGACCTTTCCGGGCATGATGGAGCTACCAGGTTCGTTCTCTGGAAGGCTCAGCTCGCCAAGACCGCAGCGGGGCCCAGATCCCAAATACCTAATGTCGTTGGCAATTTTCATCAAAGAGCAGGCGAGGGTATTAAGAGCTCCACTAGCCTCCACAATGGCGTCGTGAGCTGCTAATGCTTCGAATTTATTGGGCGCAGTCTTAAACTCAATTCCAGTCAACTTAGACACTTCTGCAGCGACAGCAACATCGAACCCCTTCTTGGTATTGAGTCCAGTGCCAACAGCAGTTCCCCCCTGCGCCAAAAGCTTAAGTCTAGGAAGAGTAGCCTCAATCCTCTCAACACCGTATGCTAACTGTGTAGCATACCCCGAAAACTCCTGGCCCAATGTCAAAGGCGTAGCATCCTGAAGATGCGTCCTTCCAATCTTAATGATTTTCTCAAAGGACTTGACCTTCTCCTGGAACACCGCCAACAAAGCTTTTAGGCTGGGCAATAATTTCTCCTCAATCTCCATGACGGCCGCGATATGCATCACTGTGGGGAATGTATCATTGGAAGAAGCACTCATGTTGACATGGTCGTTCGGATGGACCGGCTTCTTACTGCCCATCTCTCCCCCAAGGATCTCGATGGCTCTATTGCTGATGACCTCGTTTGCGTTCATATTGGACTGGGTGCCGCTACCAGTTTGCCAGACCACAAGTGGGAAGTGCGGGAGGAGTTTCAGCGAGATGACCTCATCCGCCGCTTGCTGAATTGCCTTCCCAATGTCCCCCGGCAAACCATGGTTCATGTTCACCGTTGCCGCTGCGCGCTTGAGGATGCCGAAAGCTTTTATGATCGCCGGGGGCATTCGGTCGAAGGGTTGATTTATCTTGAAGTTTGTGAGAGAACTAGAAGAATAATCATCTTTATTAGCTTTTGGCGGCTTCTTATGTCAATTGACGCTAGTGAACCCAAGCGTCCAGTCCGTCCGTCTTCGTGAGGACTGCGGGCACCGTTCGGGAGTTATCGATCCGTAGAGGGCTGTAGGGACATTCAGTCACCCCGTAGTCTTTCCCAAAGGACAGACGCCCTTGCCCTACAGCTCGAGACATACGCCCAGGACGCCCGAGACCGGAGTCCTGTAGGTAGATGCCTACAGGCTACAGGCATACAGAACCCGAACACAGGGATAAAAATTTTGTATGGCAAATTGTCTGTACGTATCTGACCCATACAAAATTCGGACTCAAATGTTCGTGTTCTAAATGGCTGTAACTTGTACAGGACGGACGGGACGCTTGGGAACACTGATTGACGCAAGCATGCAAAGAGATGAATGGAACAAACCGTTCAGTTTGCGCTCCCCAGTACTTGTCTGCTTCAACCTTGATCTCGCCAAAGGCATCTCTCTCAATTCTAAAATTATCTGCCTGTGAATCAAATGTTCAAGCAAAAAAATATTAAAAAAAATTAGCTCATCCACCAATCCTAAACAAATACTAACAGGCTAGAACGGGGCGGGGAAGCAAACCATAGTGTAAGAGCTCGTCGAAAACTGTCTAAAAAACTGTAGCTTTGTGATGGAAGAGGAAGAGGCAGCGTTGTTGTCGCAAACATTCGGGAGACGACTAGCTTCCCCGCGGGCAGATCTAATAACCGTGGTTCCCCACCGTTGCCCTGTGACGGATACCGGTAGTGGTCCTCTTCCCCCTCCCACTCTTGCTCCGGAGTCCCTCACATGTAACCGAAGCCCTCGGGCGATGGTGCGTAAGGAAACGTTCATCATGGTATGATACGGGTTGGTGTAACTCGATAGATCAATTCACCAATCCTCTTATTTATTTATGATACTTTTTTATCTCCAAACTTAACCTTCCCCCCTTACAAAAGAAAGTGAGACAAAGTCGTCAGTTAGGACCGATGTTTTTTGGGAGAGAAAAAGTGGTGATGAGGAGGCAGCAGAGCAATCAGTGTCGAGGTTTATATGTACGATAGGTATTTTTCGCAAGTATCATACTCTAACTTAGTAAGTTATACATCCCCTCATAACATGCGGGCGGGCCGCAGCCCTCGAAATTACCCGGGTTTTACAAATATCATACTTGTACTCGAGTACAGCTCAACTAAACTGTGAGACAGTTATCTATCATAAGACTATCATAAGAACCTGAATACCTTACTTCCAACGTAGAGTACTAGTACAGTACCGTAAAAACTCAAATAATCGGCCGGTGTGCCATGTAGTCAAGAATTACCCACTCTAGAAAAAGGGGCCAAGAACACAGCAAAAACAGAACTCCTCAACCCCCCTTGAGAGACATAAAAATTTAATTAAAAAAAAAAACACTAGACTAGACCTTGCCAGAGGAGGCAACCCCAACGACATAGCACATGGACCGATTATTTGAGTTTTTACGGTACCATGTTTATTGTGACCCCCAAAAAGGCCGTCTCAACATCCAAAGTTCAAAAAATTCTAGGAATCATTTTTTTCTTCCTGGTCTCAGAATGCCAGATATCATATCGGTGGAGATTGGTGAAAAAATGCCACAGTATATTATCTGGTCCTTCAAAGAAGTTTTTGTGGTATGGCCTGTTGAAGCGCCACTTGCATCTTCAGAAACAGTTTCGGTGAGAAAAAAAAATCGGGTATCTATAGGAAAAGGCACAGTCGCGACAACCTTTTGGAAAATTACAATAAACATCTCTCTATCGTACCGGCACTCCTCATATCGAGTGCATATTTTTAACTCTCTACTTACAAGTAAATGCTACCTCAATATACTACTAGTAGTACTTATGACACCACAACATTAAATTTTGATGACCTCATGTGACCCCCCCTTTTTTTTTGTTTATCAAACAAGACTCCAGGCTATCTCTTCTGGCTTTTTCAAGTTTGCCCATTTGCAACTTATACAACCGTCAAGACTGATGGTTTCTCCTTTTCCAAGAGAGCAAAAAAAAGTATCCTAACCGTGATAAGAAAAAAAAAACATACCCAAAATAAGATAACCCCACCAAGAGAAGACGTTAAAATATTGGATCACGAAAAAAACTCTTTTCACAGAAAAACGAGCAGAATGAAAGGGAAGAAAAAGCGAAAAAGAACCAAACCAACAATGTATCATATCATGAGTGGTAACTACGAAAAAGATAATCGAAATAAACCCCGTTGCCCCAAACCCGCAAGCCTTGATGATGAGATCGAAGGAAACTGAGAATTGAAAAATAATATAGCACCGCCCACTAAACCAATTGAAATGACATCGCCGGAGGCACTAGAAAAAATTAAAGATGAAAGATCCAGACTATTCTGTCTATAAGAACCCTGACTCTTGTAGTAATCTGTAGAAATAGATCGCCTTACGTCAGAACCTAAATTTCCCCATTTATAGTTCTAGAGTGTGCTCGTTCCCCCACCGACTCTCATGTCCCTTGAAGTTTTAGGACTTCCTATAGCTTGGCTTTCATCATAACCAAAAAGAGGGAGCCGGTGAAGGAACGAAGGAAAAGATATGATGCAAGAGGGTAAGGAAATATCAGGGGAGGGATTATAGAAAATCGAAGTACCTCGCAATCTTTTCATCCTCACGCTCTCTAGGCTCGAGGCTTAGAGACAGGTTATACATATCATTGACATCTCTAGCTGACTGCATGTTTGAAATGATATAATCCTGGAGCTCTGGGACAGGTTGCAAGGGGTACGGGACCGATTGGTATTGCTGTATCTCTCGGATAATGTTCGCCGTCTTGACTCGCTTGTCGAAGTTGATAAGATTCTGGTCCCCTTTGATGAAGTCGTCGTTGCCATCTGCGACAAAGGTAAGATCTTTCAGATACACACCTAGGACCCAAAGTAAGCACAATACCATCGAACACATAGATTAGACGAAACAAACCCAAGAACGGGACACACGGAGGATTGACTATGTGCAGCATCTCTCGATATTCCGCAAAGTTCATAGTTGCACCCATGAGAGTATTCATCCCCTCCAGTGTCTGGTTGGTTCTAGAGGGAACATGTTCCCATGTCCTCTTCAAACGATGTATGGAGGATGTCTGTAACGCAGCAAGAATGGCGGTAAGTGTCGAGAAGTTGT